GTGGAGGTTGCGGTGAGCCGAGATTGCGCCATTGCACTCCAGCCTGGGTAACAAGAGTGAAACTCCATCTCAAAAAAAAAAAATTACAGCCCACATTCATGAAGAAAACCAGCAGCCTGGCTGACACGTGAGGAAGCAGAAAGGATGGGAGCTTATTCAAAGCTTCATTCCTAAACAACCGTCATTATTATATACATCTGGTGGTTCCCTGGAAAACACCACTTGCAAGGCTGTCTATATTTGATCTGATTCCAAGATAACAGTGCAAAAAGCCTTCTCCAAGGGGAGTATCGTCAAGAACAAATACAGGCAAGTGATTTAGCTTTGCAGCTGCCTAAGGTTGTGAATAACAGTTAAGGTACACAATAGACTAAAAAAAAAAAATGTAAACAGAAAAATTGGGGAAGAAGATATCTATAAGAACTTTGAAAACCTCCTACATTTTTCAGAAAATCTAGAAGAGCATAAGCATGCATAGGACTGTATATATGCTCTGAAAAGACTCAAGAATGCCCCACATTGTCATGTCTAGCTGACCTTGAGCCTTTGCATGATCAAGAAGTGAAAGCTAAGGCAGAGTTGTTAATGGCCTAGCTGATTGTTGAAAGTACACCCCAACATGCACATTCTTTGACAAAGACTAGGAGATTTGCTGGTTCTGGCCATTTAAGAAGTTCTCTGTCCAATCATGAACTAATCTCTAAGATAGCTGAGTAGAGAATTCAGTGGTCACATATGACGAAGAATACAGACTAGTCACTAGTTCAGAGAAATCACTAAAACGACCACACGCCCACATTAGTAAAAACAAGTCAAAACAACAATAAACATTGGTGAAGGGAGAGCATCTGATTTCCCAGATTGTCACATCAGATTATTCAAAAATCCAGTTTTCAACAAAAAACGATGAGTGATGCAAATAAATAAGAAAGTATGGCCAGGCACAAGGGCTCATGCCTGTAATCTCAGCAGTTTGGGAGGCAAAGGTGGGCAGATCACTTGAGACCAGGAGTCCGAGACCTGCCTGGTCAACATGGTGAAACCCTGTCTCTACTAAAAATATAAAAATTACCCAGGTGTGGTGGTGCATGCCTGTGGTCCCAGTTAATTGGGAGGCTGAGGTGGGAGGATCATTTGAATCCAGGAGATTAAGGCTGTAGTTAGCCGAGATTACACCACTGCACTCCAGCCTGGATGACAGAGTAAAACCCTGTCTCAAAAATTAATAATAAAATAAAATACAGTATAAATGTGTTTTTTGTTCATAATGCTTTTTCTTGCCTGTCTTATTTAAAAGACAACAGCATAGAACAAGAAGTATAAATCTGTGTTAAAAGAGACCCAATGTATATGCATGTAATTTGTGGTAACAACAGCATAAAGGAGGGTTAGGATGGAGCAACTAAAGAACAAAATCTTCATATACTATTGAAATCAAGTTACTGTTCATCCAAATTAGATTGTTATAAGTTAAAATGGTAATTGCAATACTCAGGGCAATCACTAAAAATTAATTTTAAAAAACACAGTAAATGAAATAAGGGAATGATGTTACACTAGAAAATAGCTGTTCTATACAAGATTTTAAAAGCACTATCCAACTATATGCCATCTATAAAAAAAAAAAAACTTTAGATCCAAAGATACAAATAGGTAGAAAGTAAGGAAAAAATACACACACACACACACACACATATATAACTATATATCTCTCTATATATAACTATAGATATAGATATACATATAGATATATTTTGAGACTCTGTTGCCCAGGATGGAGTGCAGTGGCGCAACCTCTGCTCACTGTAACCTCCACCTCCCAGGTTCAAGTGATTCTCGTGCCTCGGCCTCCCAAGTAGCTAGGATTACAGACATACGCCACCATCCCTGGCTAATTTTTATATTTTTAATAGAAACAGGGTCTGACCATGTTGGCCAGGCTGGTCTTGAACTCTTGAACTCAAATGATCCACCCACTTCAGCCTCCCAAAGTGCTAAGATTACAGGTGTAAGCCACCATGCCCAGCCAAAAAAAAATTTTTTAATGCAAACTAACCAAAAGAGAGTTGGAGCGGCTATACTAACAGCAGAGAAAACAAACTTTATGATGAAAGTTGTGGCTAGAGACAAAAAAGGAGTGTGCGTGTGTGTGTGTGTGTGGGTGAATCCATCAAGAAGATGTAACATTTATAAATATATATGCATCTAACAATAAAGCTTCAAAATACAGGAAAAAGTCTTGACAAAATGGAAGAGAGAAATATGTGATTCAACCACAAGAGTTGGAGACTTCAATACCCCACTTCAAAAAAAAAAATACCCCACTTCAAATAATGTGGGACTTGAACAACAAAATAAACCAGACATAAATAACAAAAATTTATAGAACACTCCATCCAAGAGCAAAATACAAATTCTTCTCAAGTGTACATAAAACATTCTTCAGAATGACCATATATTGTGACATAAAACAATCTGCAATAGATTTTAAAGGATTGACGTCCTACAAAGCATGTTTTGGGACAAGAATGGAACTAAATTAGATATAAAAGAAGAAAATTTGGAAAAGTAACAAATACGTGGAAATTACCACACTCCTAAATAATCAATGAATCAAAGAATAAAAAGAAAATTAGAACACATAAGAAAACGTGTAATTGAGAAAATTTGTAATGAGTTACATCAAAACTAAAACATAACATAATAAAACTTTTGCAATGCATAAGTTTTTTATAACTACAAAAACCTATATTTAAAAAGAAATTTCTTAACTCAATAATATAACATTATACCCTAAGACACTAGAGCAAGAAGAGCAAATTAAATACAAAGCAAGAAGAGAAAGCAAATAATAAAGATTAAAGCAGAAATAAATAGAATAGAGAATGAAAAATGATGGAGAAAATCAATAAAACCAAAGGCTGGTTCTTTGAAAACATCGACAACATTGATAAACATCTAGCTAGACTAAACAAGGACAAAAAACACAAATAACTAAATTCAGGAATAAAAGAGGGTACATTACTACCAACCTTACAGAAATAAAAATGATTACTCAGGAATACTATAAACAATTATATGTCAATAAATCAGATAACATAGCTAAAGTGGAAAAATTCTGACTGACGTCTGCAAGACAGCCAACTAGAGTCAACCTGGCACTCATTCCCCTCACAAAAAGGAACCAAAACAATAAATAAATAACTATATTTCAACAGGAGTGACTGAGGAAGTACACTGGAAAGGACGAGGGGAGAGCAAAATACCTGTGGAGCATGAAGCACAGAATGGCACTACTGAGAGGGAAGCCAGGTGCTCTGCCTCTGCTACACTGTCTCCTCCTCCACCAGAATTGCATCAAATTCAAGGAGAAGACTTCTTACAGAGAAAAAGTAAACTAGAGACTCCCACCAGTTCCCATTGCCACCACAGATGCCAGCAATCTTTGCTATACATCTGACAAAGGATTAATATCTAGAACACTAAGAAACTTAAACAACTTAAGAGCAAAAAAAAAAAAAAAAAATCAAACAACCCAATTAAAAAATAGGCAAAGGACTTTAACAGGCATTTTTCGGCTGGGCGCGGTGGCTCAAGCCTGTAATCCCAGCACTTTGGGAGGCCGAGGCGGGTGGATCACGAGGTCAGGAGATTGAGACCATCCTGGTCAAAATGGTGAAACCTCGTCTCTACTAAAGATACAGAAAATTAGCTGGGCATGGTGGCGCGTGCCTGTAATCCTGGCTGCTCGGGAGGCTGAGGCAGGAGAATCACCTGAACCCAGGAGGTGGAGGTTGCGGTGAGCTGGGATCGCGCCATTGCACTCCAGCCTGGGTAACAAGAGCGAAACTCCATCTCAAAAAACAAACAAACAAACAACAACAAAAAAAAACAGGCATTTTTTCAAAAGAAGACATACAAATGGCCAACTTATATATGAAAAAAATGCTCAACATCACTCATCATTAAGGAAATGCAAATGAAAACTGCAATGAAATATAACTTCACTCCAGTTAGAATAGCTATTATCAAAAGACAAAATGATTGTTGGCAAGGATGTAGAGAAAGGAAAACCCTTATATACTGTTGGTGGGATTGTAAATCAGTACAGTCATTATAGAAAATAGTATGGAGGTTCCTAAAAATATTAAAAATAGAACTGCCATAAGAGCCAGAAGTCTCACTACCGGGTATTATTCAAAAGAAATAAAAACAATATGTTGAAGAGATCTCTGCACTCCCATGTTTATTTATAATAACCAAGATATGGAGTCAACCTAATGTCCAACAATGGATAAAGAAATGTGGTATATATATATATACACAATGCATGAATACACACACACTACACACACGTGGTGTATGTGTGATATATATACACACACACGTTGTGTGTGTGATGTGTGTGTGTGTATATCACACATGATGGAATACTATCCAGCCATAAAAAAGAATGAAAACCTGTCATGTGCAACAACATGCATGAGCCTTTAGGACATCGAGTTAAGTGAAATAAGCCAGACACAGAAAGACAAATAACACATGCTCTCCCTCATATGTATAATCTATTTTTTTTTAAAGCTGATATCAAATGGTCGCTTCTCTCTTGGGCTGGCCGGGCGGGGGTGGAGGGAGTGGCCGGGGCTCCGGCTCCCAAAGCGGGCCCTCCGCGACGCCCGGGACCCCTCTCTCCGCAAGCCGCTGCCTCCCCAGGAGCCCCAGCCGGGCAGGGGCGGGGGAAGAGGGAAATTCAGACGGCTTCGCTTGCCGGAGACGATAGCAGGACGGCGAGCCCCTTGGTCTGACGGCACTCTCTCCCTGCTTTTTGTTCTGGCCTCGCCGCCCCGCCACTCAACAGCTCTCAAGGCTCCTCCGGCTCCGGGTTGGCAGTTCGCCCTCGCTCTCCTCCGCCCTCTGCCCCGGTCCACCCCGCGCCTGCCAAGGAGAAGACGAGCTGATCCAGAAGACCAAAGTGGTGGAGCAGGCCAAACTGCGAAGACATGGCCACCTGCATGAAGGCCATGACCAAGGTGGGCGCTGAACTGTCCAATGAGGAGCACAACCTGCTCTCCACGGCCTACAAGAACGTGGTCAGGTGTCGCAGGTCCGCATGGAGGGTCATCTCAAGGATGGAGCAGAAGACCAACACCTCTGACAATAAGTTGCAGCTGATTAAGGACTATTGGGAGAAAGTGGAATCTGAGCTGAGATCCATCTGCACCACAGTCATGGAATTGTTGGATAAATATTTAATAGCCAATGCAACTAATCCAGAGAGTAAGGTCTTCTATCTGAAAATGAAGGGTGATTACTTCTGGTACCTTGCTGAAGTTGTATGTGGTGATGACCGAAAACAAACGATAGATAATTCCCAAGGAGCTTACCAAGAGGCATTTGATAGAAGCAAGAAAGAGATGCAACCCACACACCCAAATCACCTGGGGCTTGCTCTTAACTTCCCTGTATTTTACATTGAGATTCTTAATAACCCAGAGATTGCCTGCATGCTGGCTAAAGTGGCTTTTGATAAGGCCATAGCTGAACTTGATGACTCATCTTCACTGAATGAAGACTCATACAAAGACAGCAAGCACCCCCATCATGCAGTTGCTTAGAGACAACCTAACGCACACTTTGGACATCAAACAGCGCAGGAGAAGAATGCGATGCGGCAGAAGGGGCTGAAAACTAAATCCATATAGGGTGTCATCCTTTCCTTCAAGAAACTTTTTTACACATCTCCATTCCTTATTCCACTTGGATTTCCAATAGCAAAGAAACCCATTCATGTGTATGAAATCATCTGTTTATAGTCTTTTCACACTGAAGCTTTGGGAAAACTTCATTCCTTGATTCATGTTTGTCTTGGCCTTCCTGGTGTGCAGTTACTGCTGTAGAAAAGTATTAATAGCTTCATTTCATATAAACATAAGTAAGTTCCAAACACTTATGTAGAGGACTAAAAATGTATCTGGTATTTACGTAATCTGAACCAGTTCTGCAAGTGACTGTGTTTTGTATTACTGTGACGATATGAAAATGTAGTTAATTACCATTTAAAGATTGTTCCACATAACTTCTTAATTTCTGCATTCCCTCCCTTACTCTTCAGGGGTTTCCTTTCAATAAGCAACTTTTCCATGATCTTAATGTATTCCTTTTTAGTAGGAATCCGTAAGTATTAGATTGAATGGAAAAGTATTTGCCATCTCTGGCTAGGAGTCACAAAGTTAAATGCCTCCTGTATCACATAAGGGGGTCATGTATATATGTGGCATCAGGGAGTTTCCTTATTCACTCTATTTGCTGCTGTTTAAGTTGACAATCTTCCTTCCCAATAAAAATTCACTTATACCTCATAAAAAAAAAGATACCATAGAAGCACAGAGTAGAATGATGGTTACCAGAGATTGAGAAAGCAAGGGAAGAGGAGAAGGGAGAAAAAGGAGATTGGTCAATGGATATAAAGTTACAATTAGGAGGAATAATTTCTAGTGTTCTAATGTATAGTAGGGTGACAATGGTTAACAATAAGGAATTGCATAATACAAAATAGCTGGAAGAGAGACTTTTGAATGTTCTCACCACAAAGAAATGATTAAATGCATGACATGATAGATACGCTAAACACCCTGATTTGATCAGTATATATAATATATATATTGAAACATCAAATTATACCCTGTAAATATGTACAATTATAAACTGTCAATTAAAACTACAAAATCATCAAATTACAAAAAATAAAATGAAAAAAAAATCCTAGAAAGACACAAACTACCAAAACTGACTCAAGAAAAAGGAGAAAATGTAAATAAATATATAACAACTAAAGAGATTGAATTATTTTGAAAACCTTCCCACAATTAAAAGTCTAGAACCAGATGGCTTCACTGATGAATTCTACAGAATAGTTAAAGAAGAACTGATGCCAGACTTCACAAACTCTTCCAAAAACAGAAGAGGGGGGAGCACTTCCTAACTAATTCTATGAGGCCAACATTACCTCAATACTAAAACCAGACAAAATAATCACAAGCAAAGAAAACTACAGATCAATATTACTTATGAATATAGATATAGTAAATTCTCAACAAAAAACTAGCAAATCAAATCCAGCCATATATAAACAGTACTACCTGCCATGACCAAGTGGGATTTATCGCAGGAATGTAATGCTGAGTCAGCATACAATAATCAATTAATGTGGGGCCAGGCCTGGTGGCTCATGCCTATAATCCCAGCACTTTGGTAGGCCAAGGCAGGTAGATAACAAGATCAGATCAAGACCATCCTGACCAACATGGTGAAACCCCATCTCTACTAAAAATACAAAGATTAGACAGGCGTGGTGATGTTGTGCCTGTAGTTTCAGCTACTCAGGAGGCTAAGGCAGGAGAATTGCTTGAACCCAGGAGGCGAGTTGCAGTGAGCCGAGATCACACCACAGCACTCCAGCCTGGGTGACAGAGTAAGAGAGACTCTGTCTCAGAAAAAAAAATAATAATATAATACATCATATTAATAAAGGACAAAACCAAATTATCACATGTCAACAGACACAGAAAAACCATTTCACAAAATTCAACATCCTTTCACAACAAAAGCACTCAGCAAACAAAGAATAAAAGGAAACTTGGGCTGGGTGCCATGGCTCACACCCATAATCCCAGCACTTTGGGAGGCCAAGACAGGAGGATCACTTGAGGTCCAGAGTTCAAGACCAGCCTGGCCAACATGGTGAAACCTCATTTCTTTTTTTTTTTTTTAAGATTTAAAAAATTTTTTATTTAAAAAAATATTTAGTCTATATCATGCTTTGAAGAAAAAAAATATTGATTGTAGTTTACTCTCTGAGATGGCTGAGAAAATGTCTACTTTGTTCCAGTGCTGAGTGCAGGTTTGACATACAGGAGACACTCATTTATGAATAAGGAAGATATAACTTAACTATTCTCTGGGAGATTTTAAAATCCTTCAATACCTGGGTTTATTTTCCTGAACATCAATTATTATTGCTTTATAATTGCCGGGTTGTGTTTAAAGTTATCAGACTCCACTTTTTAGTTAATATCCAGGAAGCTGAAATTCTCATTTTATCTCCCCATTACTCTTATAAGGAAAGTAGAGTAAGTACTATTACTTCCTTTATACATAAAATAAAACAAAGGCACAGATTGGCTTAGCCAATTAGATAAAGTTGTATGACTCAGTAATTAGAAGCTAAGGAAGCCTAGAACCCACATCTCCTAACTGAGCAAAGCAGGAAATATGGTGAAACCTCATTTCTACTAAAAATACAAAAATTAGCCGGGAGTGGTGGCGCATGCTTGTAATCTCAGCTACTTGGGAAGCTGAGGTGGGAGGATCACTTGAACCTGGGAGGCAGAGGTTGTAGTGAGCCAAGATTGCATCACTGCACAAAGTGAGACTCCACCTAAAAAAAAAAAAGAAGAAGAAGAACAAAAGAAAAGAAAGGAAACTGGGCCGGAAGCAGCACTCCCAGCACTTTGGGAGGCCAAGGCAGAAGGATCACTTGAATTCAAGACCAGCCTGGGCAACCTAATGAGACCCCATCTCAACAAAAAAATTTTAAAGATTAGCCAGGCCTAGTGGCACATGCCTGTAGTTCCAGCTACCTGGGAAGCTGAGGTGGGAGGATCACTTGAGCCCAGGAGGTCAAGGCTTCAGTGAGCCATGACCGTGACACTACACTCTAGCCTGGGCAACAAATTGAGACCCTGTATCAAAAATAAACAAACAAACAAAGAGAAGAAAATTTCTTAAACCTATAAACAGCATCTACCAAAACCCAACAGCTGATATCATACTTACTATTAAAAGACTGAAAGCTTTCTCCCTGAGTTCAGGAACAATAAAGGGTTGTTCACTCTCCTCATTTCCATTCACCATTGTACTGGAGGCTCCAGCCAGGATAATTAGTCAAGAAAATGATATAAAAGACATTCGGATTGAAAAGGAAGAAGTAAAATATCTATTCACAAAACGACATGATCTTGTATATAGATAATTCAAATAAATCCACTAAAAAACTATTAAGGCCATGAGAATACAAGTTACAATTTTATCAAGTAAAAAAAAAAACTATTAAGGCCATTAAATGAGCTCAGCCAGGTTCTAAGAATCAAGATCAAATTACTAAAATTGGTTGTATTTCTATATGCTTTAATAAAAATGCAAAAATGAAAATATTTCATTTGTAATAGCATCAAAAATAATAAAATACCGAGAAACAAATTCAACAAAGTAAGTATAAGACTTGTACACTAGAAACTACAAAACATTGTTGAAAACCATACCTAAATAAATGGAATGACATCTGGTATTCACATATTAGAAAACTTAAAATTTTTTAAGTCAATACTTTCCAAACTGATCTACAGTTTCAATGTAATTCCTATCAAAATTCCAACTGCCTTTCTTTGCAGAAATTGACAAGCTAATCCTAAACTTCATATGGAAATGAAAGGGACCCAGAAAAGCCAAAAGCAATATTGAAGAAGAATAAAGTTTGAAAGTCTCATACTTCCCTATTTCAAAATTTATCACAAAGGTACAATAACAAAGACATTGTGGTACAGACCTAAGGAGAGACATATAGATCACTGCAGTAGAGTTGAAAGTCCAGAGAAAATAGCCCCACACTTCTATAGTCAATTGATTTTTGACAAAGATCCTAAGAAAATTCAATAGGTTACAATAGCCTTTTCAATAAATGGTGTTGCAACAAATTTATATCACCATGAAAAATAAATTTAGCCCACTTCGTATCATATTAAAAATTAACTTGATCCCATCTTTACAAAAAAATTAAAATCAGCCATGTGTGGTGGCATGCCCCCATAGTCTCAGCTACTTGCAGGGCTGCAGTGGGAGGATTGCTTGAGCACAAGGAGAGCAAGGCTGCAGTGAGCCATGATCACATCACTGTACTCCAGTCTGGGCAACAGAGCAAGACCCTGTCTCTAAAACAAAAAACAAAAGCATTAACTTAACATGGATAAAAGACCCAAAATAAGAGCTAAAACTGCAAAACTCTCAGAAGAAAACGATGTAAATCTTCATGACCCTGGACTAGGCAACGGTTTCTGAGACATTACACCTAAAGTACAAACAACAACAAAAAATAATTGGACTTCGTCAAAATCTAAATATTTTGTGCATTAAAGGGCACTATGAATAAAGTATTAAGATAACCTGCTATTTGCAAATCATGTCTCAGAAGTATCTTATATTCAGAATGTATAAAGATGTCTTACAACTCAACAACCAAAAGACAAATAACCCAATTTAAAAATGAGTGGAGGCTAGATGTGGTGGTTCATGCCTGTAATCCTGGCACTTTGGGAGGCGGAGGTAGGAGGATCGAGCCTAGGAGTTCAAGAACAGCCTGGGAAACATAGTGAGACCTCATCTCTACAAAAAATTAAAAAATTAGCCGGGTGCAGTGGTGTACACCTGTGGTCCCAGCTACTCAGGAGGCTGAGGCAGGAGGATCACTTTAGCCCAGGAGGTTGAGATTGCAGTAAGCCATGATCATGCCACTGCACTCCAGCCTGGGTGGCGGAGAAAGACCCTGTCTCAAAAAAAAAAAAAAAAATAAGTCAAAAAACTTAAGACGTTTTTCCAGAAAAGATACACGATGGCCAACAAGACATGAAAATTATGTTCAACACCACTAGTCAGCAGGTCAATGCAAATGAAGCTACATGATATTACTTCCTATCCACTGGCATGGCTATAATAAAAATTAACAATAGTTGACAAGGATGCAGAGAAACTAGAAGCCTCATACATTACTAATAGGAATGTAAAATTGTACAGCCACATTGAAAAAGAGTTTAGCGGTTCCTCAATAATTTAGACATAGAATTACCATAATGTCTAGTAAACCCACTCCAAGGTATATGCCCACAAGGATTGAAAAACAGGGATTCAAATAGCCATTTGTATATATGAATGTTTACAGCAACATTATTCACATCAGCCAAAAGTGGAAACAATCCAAATGCCCATCATTGATGAAGGAATAACAAAATATGCTATATTCATATAAAAGAATATTATCCAGCCCTAAAAAGGAATGAAGTTCTGATATAATAACATGGATGAACCCTGGAAACATCATGCTAAGTGAAATAAGCCAGACACAAAAAGCCACATATCGCATGATTCAATTTATATGAAATATCCAGCACAGGTGAATTCATACAGACTAGAATGCATATTTGTGGTTGCCTGAGGCTGGGAAAAGGGGAGGAATGCGGAGAAGCTACTTAATGGGTACAGGGTTTCCTTTTGGGTGATGAAAAAGTTCTATAACTAGTATTAGTGGTA